GGTTCTATGTGACCCATTTACACAGAATTTTGTGACTGCATGAGTGCTGCTGCAGACCTCATGCTGAGCTGCAGGACTCCCACCCTCTAGGTGCCACCCACCATCTCCTGAGCTCCTAACTCTGTAGTCAATTCTTACCCTGAAACCAGGATCTTTACCTGGCTATCAACCTCTTGGGTTTAAAAATATTGATAAAATTGAATAATTAGACAGTTTTTGCTATGGAGTTAAAATCCTACAGTGTTTGCATATAAAATTAAATGTTGGGATATATTTCATAAGGGAAGATGCCACTAACCTGTACTGGCAGGCCTTCGGTTCTGTGTGACCCATTTACACAGAATTTTGTGACTGCATGGGTGCTGCTGCAGACCTCATGCTGAGCTACAGGACTCCCACCCTCTAGGTGCCACCCACCATCTCCTGAGCTCCTAACTCTGTTCCTCATGACCCCCTACCCCCAAGCATGGTAGAGGAGGAAGGAAGGAACCTGGCTGTTCCCCAGTCACCCAGGCTCCCTCTGCCCTCCTCTCTAGCTCTACTCCTGTCCCCCCTGCCCTGCATCATTCCTCACTGAAGGCCTTTCCTCACACCTCATCGAATCCAGAGCATCTTTTATCCAAAATGACCTGCTGCAACCTCTCTACATCCATTCTGACACCAAAATATCCCCCTTTATCCCTTCACTCAGGAAGCCTGGCTCAGGGATCCAAAGCCAGATAAGATGTAGAGCTCTTGATATTCTGGATGGAACAACTGATCCACTGATAGGAGCCTGGAAGCATGTCCTGGCAGCTCTACTCCTGTCCCCCCTGCCCTGCATCATTCCTCACTGAAGGCCTTTCCTCACACCTCCTCGAATCCAGAGCATCTTTTATCCAAAATGACCTGCTGCAACCTCTCTACATCCATTCTGACACCAAAATATCACCCTTCATCCCTTCACTCAGGAAGCCTGGCTCATGGATCCAAAGCCAGATAAGATGTAGAGCTCTTGATATTCTGGATGGAACAACTGATCCACTGATAGGAGCCTGGAAGCACGTCCTGGTTGCAGCAGAGGGCAGGATACAGTCAACTCTGCTGGGGTGGCCTGCACCTCCCAGATCCAGGCACCACAGCTGAGAGTCCCTGGAAGAGGTGGTCACCAGGTTGACTGGGGTGGGGTTGAGGACAGAGGGTGTCCCGTGCTGTAGGCACAGCCTGGGGCTCCATCTAGAATTGCCAATCTCATGCATGAGCGAGGGGCTGGAGTGGGGGTGCCCTGCCCTGGGGCACAGGGGAGATGGTTCCCAGCGTCTCTCAATAGCATTTCCCAGCTGCAAATCAATGGGTGGGTTTCAGGATGGCTCTGCTTCCGTGAACTCACGAGATAAACAGGCTAACCTCTCTTATTTCATTGTTTCTGCTGGAAACTTTTATCTGAATTCCAAACAGCTGAATTGTAAGCATGGTAACCCTTGTCCTTCCTTGAGGGCAGGCCTGGGTTCCTGCTCAATTTTGGGGGGGCAAGGGTTGAATCTGTCATAAGGTTTTTCTTCCATTGTGAGTGGATTTTCCCCTCAACAGTACTGTTCTTTTCTTTTGCCTTTCTGAACCATAATCCTGCGATTCCCCTCTTTGGAGCTGTTTAGACAGAAATGGGTGCTGGCAGGAGCAGCCTAGAAGGGATTCCTGCTCCAGAGGGAGGGATGCTGGGTGGCCCGTGAGTCTGCCTTCCATCCCCAAGGCCTGTTGGAGGCGAGGCCCGGCTTTGAAACTCAGGCGGGAGGAACCTGTAGCAGCGGGCTGCCCCTGAAGCCACAGCTGTCCCTGTGGCTATATTCTCTGCACTCTTTCCTTTGAGTCTCAGAGCCTGCCAAGGCCACATGTCCCTGGAAGCCTTCACACAGCCTAGCTTTCCAAGCACAGCCATGCAGCCGGAGGTCTGGGCACCTGAGCTTCAGCAGTCTGGGCAGCTGGCGGGTCTGGACACTCACACCCTGGCCCCTCAGCAGCCTTGCTCCTAGGGGGAAATTAGGGACAGAGGGAAAATCCCAAGAGGCAATGCACGTGACCTCTGGAAGAAAAAGATTGAGCATCAGCTGCTGGGCCTGCTCAGTCTGTTGTTTGGACTCATTTGGGGGTTGTAACTGATGAACATAACCTACCGGTGTTTCACGACAGGCCACGGTCAGGAGGACGGTTTTGTGGTGTGGTCATTAAACACTGTCTTGGGCGTGGGAATTGGGCAGACTTGAGTGTGAATGTGGTTGCAAGAGCTTGGGCACATTTCTTAACCTCTCTAAGCCTCAGTTTCCTCATCTGTACAATTGGGTATTTCCACTGGCTGGACCAGAAGGCAGGGAGGCTGGGAGGTGCCTGTGTCATGGGTTATTATGAGGACTAAGTAAGATAACACATGCGCAGTCCTAGTGCTGGGCCTGGAACTAGTGCATGTGCAGAAGTGGGCCACACCCACTGAGAAGTGAGAGGCCCGACCCCTCCTCTTGGTCCTGGACCCTCTTAGGGAGCTCACCGTGTAGCAAAGAGAAAGCAGAGGCCTGGCCTCACCTCACAGGGCCTCAGCTGAAGTTGTGCATGAGTCAAGATTGCAGAGTGAAGACCTGGGCATCAAGAAGTTGTTTTCTGTGGGAATGTGAGTGTACAGAAAGGAACTATTCTTGCCTTACTCAAATATGAATAAAACCCCAATGTCTTTCATCTGTGGAACATGGTGGTTTTGCAAACTTTAATGAATTCCCAAAACACCTTTATGAGTTTGGCAGCTGATGGCTTCGAGGTGAGGAACACAGAGGGTGAAGTAACCTGCCCAAGGCTGGGGAGCAGTCCCCTCGCACACCCTCCTCTTCCCAGGAGTCATGTTCTTCTGTGCTCTGTCCTGGATGCTCTTGAATGGTATTTGCTTTCTTGTCATGGTTTTGCTTAAGCAGAGGCTGACATGGAGCCCAGGGACAGTGCTGACTGTATCCCCTGACTGACAGGACATGGGGCAGGGGAGGAGGTGTGAAGATAATTCATTAGTTCAGGGACAGTGGTGACAGGCTAGTCACGCTCCCCCTCAAGAGGTATGCAAAGCATCCTCCGTGTCCTTTGACGAAATCACGGTCGCTGGCTGACTTAAGCAAAGCATGGTTTGTGGCAGTGCCAGAAAGTCAGAATATGACTGTTGCCCAGCTTCAAGTATGCAGACACTCAGACGTTTCCTGGCTTGGTGGGAATGCCTCGCTTTAACGTTTGGTGTGTGGACACAGACTTACCCTTTGAGATGTGTCTGGGGGAAACCTAAGAGACTTGCTTCCAAAATTGACATAAATTGGGCACCAAGAAAGAATTGCACAGAGAAGATATGTGTGATTTTACTGATTTTCTCTCCCCACCCCGCTGTCCTACCCCCAACTCCTGCCCAAATACCTGGTTCAGGATTCTGTAGGGGTATTTGAGAAGCCCATGCTGGGCTTCCGGTAAAAGTGGTCTGAAGTTCTTATGATGTTTCTCATTTCAAAGGCTAAAAGGAAAGTCATAAGATGATTGCTTTATTTATTCCAAGTGTGTGTTTCTCCTGAGAGTGAGGACATCTGTGCGTCTACCCTAAGTGAACAAGGACTAGGAGCCGTCCCGGCCCTCACAGCGGGGGTCGTGTGGGCCTTGTGCAGTGGAGGACTAACAGATGGGACTCTTCTCGTTTTCCGCACTGTCTTGATTTACCTGCCTTCTGGGCTAACCTGTAGAAGGTCCAGCCTCTTTGCACAGCCATTCATAATGCAGCTTTTTGCATTTTGGTTTTGGGAAGTCATTCTAATTTAGTTCACACTGATTGCATAATTCATAAGAGGATCCTTCTTCATGGTAATTTTGCTGCTCTGTTCCCAGAAACCTCCAGTACTGTAATGTGAGGGCACCTAAGGTCATCTGTTGGCAGGGGTGGCTTCATGGGCATGCGACACACAGATCGTCACACTCATGAGGGCCCTGGGCTTACAGTTGCAGTCTTGAAATTCTTATAGTTTTATCTTCGAATTTGTGTCTTGTGAGTGAAGTCCAATTGGACAATGGAGTATGCACTGGGGACTGCCAGCCTTGGTTCCCATGGTCCTGCCTACTGCCATCTGCCTGCCTCTCCTGGGTGGGTTCCTGTCCCTGTCACACTCTGCTCCTGGTGGAGCCTGGACACAGAGAAGTTTGGCGTTACCCCCCACAGTATCTCAGGCAGGGCACAGAGGCAGCTGTCCCCATCCTGGGCTGCAGCTCCACGGCATGTTCATGGGTGACTAGAGAGGGGTGAGCCTTTCCACTTCCCCTGACCCAGGTACCTGGAGCACCCTGGCATGGAGGGTGGGGTGCCTTGGGTTGGGGAAGCTGGTCCCTGGGAAGAGGAGATACTGAACTAGACTTCCCTGCCCCCAGCTGGGTCACAGCTTATCAACCCGGTTGCTGGCAGGAGGGAAAAGCTGGCAGTGAGTGGGTCCTTGCTCACTTGCACACGTTGTTACTGGAACCCCGTGCACCTAAGGGGACTGCACTCACCCCTGCGAGTATCCACATGCCCAAAGGAGAGCAAGGACATAAATAGCAAATAAAAAACATCGACATGCACAACGATGTGGATGTTCTTAATGTCAGTGAAATGTACACTTAAAAATGGTTAAAATGGCAAATTTTATGTGTATTTTCCCACTATATAAATATATTTATAAAGTGTTAAAAAAAAAAAAAAGCAAAAGCAAAATACTCCATGACAGGTGGAGAGAGCGACCATGGAAGGAAGAGAAAAGCTTATATGTTAGTACCTCGATTGGGCACTTATTTCCTTCTTTTTGGACAAGGGGTCCATGTTTTCAGTTTGCACTGAGCCCCTAATGATGTAGCCGGTCCTGTTTGTTGGCCACTTTGTAAAACCACCAGGTCTTTGCCTTTCACAGAGCCTGCCCTTGAATCCGAATCCTCGGAGGAAGTCATGTGCTGAGCACACTCTTACCTTCTCTCTTCTTCCCTCACAGGTATCCTGTTGGCTGTGTGCCAAGCCCTAGAGAACAGCACGTCCCCGCTGAGTGGTGAGTGTGTGGAGTGTGGGGAGGGAGCACACCTGCTAGGCTGGGGGGCTCCTGCCTGTGGAGCACACGCCTGTCCCCTGAGCCTACGCCTGTCCCCTGAGCCCTCTCTGCTTCCCCCTGCTCCCTTCAGCTGACAGACAATTAGCGAGGGCAAGTGTGCTGGGAAATAATACTGAAGGATCTGGAACCATCAGAGTTTTTCCAGCTCAGGTGACAATCTTTCTAACAAAGAACCCAGATTCCTGAACCCCCTAGATCAACATATTGGAGAGCTAGGGAAGCATAGGAACCAAAGTGCTTGTGATCACAGTGTGATGGGTGCACAACCCGGGCACAACCACTGTTACATTTGCGTGTAGCTTTTAGCCATTGTTCATGTGCATTAATATTTTTATGCAATTAGCCCTGGTGAAGAAATTATTTTAATTCATGCTTTTTAAACTCAAGTGTTGGGGGTGTGCATTTTTCCATGTTGCTAGCAAGTCCTGAAATTTATCCTTTTAGAATGTCAGAATGTCCCAGTAAAATTGGCATGTGCAATTTAATTAAGCATTCCCCATTGGATATCTATGGTGCTTCCAGTTTTTTAAGTTATGCTACATCTTCAGGCCTAGAAGCTTTTTCCTTCTTTTGGATTATTTTCTCAGGATATATCTCTAGGAGCGGGAATAAATCCACTTGGTATGAACTACCAATTCTGAGTGAATTGTGCTGATTTTTACCAGCAATGCATGAGCATGCCAGTTTTGCTATTCCCTTGGTAGCATGGAGTATGTTTCGCTGACTTCTGCTCCCATCTTTTTACTGCAGTAGCCCCAGCTATGTCTTCCCAGTTATTTCAGGGACATCCCAATGGGAGGGGGCAGGTTTATTGTGTATTTATAAATTCTCTAACCAGCCACACAGTGTCCCTGGTACTTTGCTCTTCTGCTCTTCCAGTACTTTCCCTCCAAACCCACTGCAGTAGCCCCAGCTATGTCTTCCCAGTTATTTCAGGGACATCCCAATGGGAGGGGGCAGGTTTCTTGTGTATTTGTAAATTCTCTAACCAGCCACACAGTGTCCCTGGTACTTTGCTCTTCTGCTCTTCCAGTACTTTCCCTCCAAACCCACTGAAGATGGTGCTGCCACTCCACTGGGCACCTCTGCTTCTGCAGCCACACAGTCCCCACTTGGCTCTTTTATCCTTGGTGCACTTGAACCCTTACAGTGCCCAGACCACTTGGTGGTTCATGATGACACAGAAGAATATGCCTCTCTCCCTCTATGTCATGCTTTGTTGGGGCTGGAGGTGGAAGGATGTGAGTGTGTCCATCCCAAAGCAGTGCTTCTGGAGTCCAGGGTCTACCAGAGTTTCCATGAAGCAGCTCTTCCACTTTCGAATTGCCTGCCACACCACAAAGGGCTCGGGTGTGGACATGAGGGGGAAGGGGAGGATAGCTTAGTGATTCCACCATGCCGTTCTCAGAATTGCCCCAAACCCCTTCCTAGGATGCACTTACCCCAGGTGCCTCTTTAGCCCCTTCTACAGATAGACCTCTGATGACCTGCCCAAACACTAGAAAGTACTGATGTTCCAACAGACACTCATGCACTGGATGTCGTTTGAGGGAACATGGACACTGGACCAGTTGAGGGTTACCACCTGTTCTGATCATTGTCACTATTACCTCCAGGCATGTCCACGGGCTGAGATGCTTTCTATGTTTCCCTCGCCCTTTCTGTACCTTTCTGGGCCATATTGGGTGGAGCAGAGGCATGGTCTTGAGGTTAGGCCAGATGTATGGGATGGAGGCCTGTGCCCTGGGCCTCGGTCCCTGGTTCCCTGGCTCTCTTGTGGAGCCCCCTCCAGACCCTCTTGGTCCTCACTGTAGGGCCTGGTAGGCTAAGAGCCAGGTTCTCGACTGAGTTGCAATGATGGCAAATGCTTATGCTACCATCCATAGGGAAGGGGATATTTCTGGTTCTTCTATCCCCCCACTCCATCCATTCATACAGGTGAGAAAAGCCTAAGGAATGTCAAACCTGAGCCTGTCCCCTCGGGGGCATGGCATGGCTCCTTCCTAGACCCTTTGGAGTTTCCCGGGTCCTCCTGGGAAGACATGGGCAGACCTGATACATTTATCCAGAAAATGACTGTTCTTGCTACAATAGTGACTGACATCTGCTCCATCTTTCCTTTCTGGGCTTCCTTCTCTGAGAATGCCTCTGATGTGGATGTGTATCCGAGGTTTACTGTCTGTCCCTCATTATGATCTATGACCAGAAAACAACAGTTGAGCCCTGCTGTGTTGCATATTACCCTGTAGCTGGCAGAGTGACACCTGTGGCCCACACTGTGGAGTAACAGCAGAGGCAGCGACACATTCCTAGTGTCCAGAGAGCCTTGAGCCCCCAGAGTTGGCAGGTGGTCTGTGGAGAAGGGGGTTGGCTGCCCACCTGACCTCTGCATTGCTCTCTGTTTGATGGGTTACTTAGCTACAGAACTTGTGCCCCAGTGTCTGAGAGATTAATAAGTAGCTCTTTCCCTTCTTACTTACTCTCTTCCCTGCCCTATGGAACCCAGACATGAATCCAGAGAGGGCTGGGCTGGGACAAGTCCAGATGATTATGACCACACCATAGTCACCCCTCCAAAGGCTAGGGCTTTGTGACTGAATCAGGCCTATTTGCTTAACTTTCTCTTCCTTGAGGGTGACCTTCCTGTCTCCTAGAAGATTTCTCAGGCTCTGGTAGGCCTTGCTATACACTCCATTGGGGGGTAGGCCCCCCAGTGGTGGGTTCATTTACTAAATTTCAGAGCCATCCATTTAGGTTTGAAGACGGGTAGTTTTAGGACAAATGCTGTGAGGATGTCTTTACCTGTGATGTAAATATGCAGGTCTTTTCACTCTAAGACCAGAGTTGACCAGAATGAGAAACAATAATAGACAAAAGATAGGTTTTGATACATTCCGAATGATAGCACTGGAACAAGAGGGCTATAGGAATACTCAGGGTAAATCCCTATCATTTTAATTGGGCATTGCGGAGAGAAAATTGCAAACCAGGAATCCTGGTTGTTAGGCCCACTTGTTCTCAGTTTTTTCAAGTCCCTGGGCAAGTTATTCATCTGGTTTCCGTCTGGATTAGTATCCTCATCTGTGGGACTTGTATCAGGAATGGCCTGTAAGATTTTTCACATGACCACTCTGATGGATTGGTAGGGGTAACTTAGAGAGCTGTGTTGGGAAGGATTATAAGGCTGCCTTCAAGTTTTAGGAAGTGCTGAGTGATCGGCTGGTGATGCCTGCTGTGGACTCGGGGTAGGGAAGTGGTAGTATTTGATTCTCCTGGAACTAGATGCTATTTTACACGCGGGTTAACATTCTGCTTGCTGGAACTATACAAAGAAGCAGGCCTTCTCTGCCCTTCCCTCAAGGAGTCCACCAACAGGAGAAAGACAGCATGGGCACCCGTAATGAGAGCATCATAATGTATAGCAGCCTTGGCCACTTAGTGCATGACTTAGAAAATAATTTCTGTGGGAGTGAGATCAATAGTCTGGGGTTTGGGACAGAAAATTTTTATCTGGTTGATTGTCAATTTGTGAAGCACGCAGAGAAACATTAGCTGGGGGCAGGGTGAAGGCGGCAGCACCTACAGCTGAGAACATCAGTCACACCCTCCCAAGGAGGGAGTTATGACCTAGCTTCAGAAGGCACTTTTTAATGCCCCTTAAAAGGGACAGAATGCACCCTGGTGAAGAGGTTGTCAGGTGACAGCTTGCTTAACATGCAGAAATATTGCGCAGTTTCCAGGCCACCCATCTGGTTCTCCTATTTTCATGGGACTCACTCTAATGACCGAGGGGGTGTGGTGAGGGCCTTGCTCAGGCACCTGGGAGCCAGGTTCCAAGCTTCCCTCTGCTACCTGCCTCGCATGATTTGGGTACTCAGGGCAGCTCTTTACACCTCTGAACTTCTGCTCCTTCTTCCTGCCTGTCTAATGACACCCACCTAGAATCAGGGAGCACTGGAAGCCTTGCTCAATTTAGTGTCTGGGAGGCTTCTCAGAGGTGATGATGAAAGAACATGGAAATTTACACGGGGAATGTCACCATTATCAGCTTGCTTGGGAGATGGTGATCCTATCTTGGTGGGGATCCTGGGCTTAAATATGTTGAGATGGTGAGTTTGGGCTGGGGGTGCACAGGGGGAGGGCAGATCAGCTTATAGGGAAATGTCTTTGAAGGCTTTACTTGTTTGGAAAACAGGTAGAATGCAGGTCAGCCAGCAAGCAAGGGATCTGCTTATTGCTCATCTCATCTAACAAAAGCTTTTCAGAACTGCAAACTCCTTCCCCATTCCATTGTCTAGAGTTTTCCCACGTGGAGCTGAAGTCATTCTAAAATTAGAAGGCTCACGTGTTCTACCCAGGTACATGGTTCACCTGTTCCAAATACGTGTCTATAGCAAGAGACTTGGTATGTCTTAGTTTAGAGATAAAACCACATACACCTGTGCGTGCTTGCTTTAGCAAATGCTTAGAGGAACGTCGGGAGAGAATAAGAGATTTTTCCTTTCCTCTCCAGTGTTTATCCTTGTCCTTCACTTCCTCATTTTTACCTTCTACTTTTTGCAAAGGAAATTGTGCTGGGTCAGTTGTTTTTTTGAGCAAAGGCTGCTCAGAGCAGTAGACAGAACACAGGAAATGGAATCAAGGATTG